TAGGCCCCAGGCGTCCTGGCGGGCTCGGGAGGGAGGCGGCTGCCCTCCCGAGAGCCCCAGGGTTCCGGCCTCCCCTGCCGCCTCGGCTTCCCCGAGCCGCGGCCTCCTCCGCGCTGTGGAACCCCGGGTCTGGCCTTCGCCGCGGGCTCGGGAGCGGGCAGCCGGGGAGAGCGCGCCGGGCCCGGGAGCAGGAGGTGGGCGGGTTGCGCGGGACCGGAGCGGCGGCTCGGCCCTCGCCCCCTCGGCTCTTCCCGGGTCTGGTCCGCAGGCGGCGCGGCGGGGCCGGGCGGGGCGCGGGAGCCGCTGTCTCCGGCGGGAGAGGAGGCTGGGCGGCTCGGGAGACCTCCGGAGCTTCCCTCCCGTCGAGGCGGCGTGGGCTTGTTACCCAGGTAGACTGGGGGGCGCTGGAATATGGCGCGCTGCCCACCTTCTTGCAAGTTGTTAGGAGGCGCCGGGGCGGCAGTTCGAGGAGGAGGGCGCAAAGTCCTTTTGTACGCCGAATTAAGGAGCGACATTGTGTTTTTCTCTACGGCGGAGATGCCCACGGAGGGGCCCGAGTTCTTCCCGTGTCTGGGTGGCGGTCCCCTGGGTAAGGGATGGGGAGGTGGCGCGCCCCACAGAAAGAACCGAACCTTTGTCAGGGGCTAGATGGGGGTGCTGGGATGGTCTTGGGCATGGTACTGTCCAGTACTCCCAGCCTTTCGTGGACTCGGGGGTTTGCCGTTGCGTGTTGTGCGCTTCACGGTGCACTGCGTCTCTCACCTGTTGTGTCGTTGCTGCTGGTCCCAAACTTTGTATGGTGCCTCTGCCTACCCACCAGAAGTTGAAGTTGTTTAAAAAATCTTAATGTTTTTAAGGCTTCGAAGGGTATCTGCTCTGACCAAGTTGGAGGAACTGTTACCTGGTCATCCCTCTCCCCAGCCATTAAAATACTGTATAGTAGTTGTTTACTTTGGAGCTGGTATCAGTTGGACCGAATTCTTTCTGTAGTCAGAACACAATTTACATTTTCTTAAGCATTTAGAGGCCGCATATGGGAAGAAAGATAGTATGAATGAACCTGTCAGTTGCACCGGATTCGGTAGGAGACTTGGTACAGCTTTGGTCCCACGGCATCCCAAAAGTGGTCCTTTCCCATTCCACTTCAGCCCTGTCTCTTGAATTCTTTTTCCTCTGGTTATGAACAGCAAGCTACTGGGTTATTCCTCATTCAAGGGAAAGGAGGCGGGGAAGCAGTGATGATACTGGCTGTTTTTTTTTGTTTTGGTTTTTTGATTCGGTAGTGTCTTGACTCCCTTACATTGTTTGAAAGTTCTTGACAACTTACCCTATAAGGTAGTAAAATTAGGACTAGTTGTATGTGTCTAAGTCTAATTTCCTTATGTGTGCAAAAGGAAATACACAATTATCATGAGTAACCTAGTGTATTTACTCAATTTGAGCCCTAAATTATGTGCAGACTTTTTTGTGTGTCAGGGGGCCTTTTCTTGCTTTTTGGGCTGTGCTGGTGAGCTAACCCAGGGTATTGGGTGTGCAAACCATTTGCCACTGAACCACACCTCCAGCCTTTTTTCTTCTGGTGGGAATTAGATTGTTGCTTTCTACTCACCCAAACAAAAGGAAAACAATAATCAGATTAAGAATATTTTTGCTCACTTTACTTAAAATCTCTTGATCTCATTACAGTCTCAAACTTGACTTGACTATAAGGGAAAATAACTTTTTGCCTAGCAGCGAGTGATTAGCATTCTCATTTAGCTGGAAACAACCAACCAACCCAGGAAAATGAGTCTACATGCAAATACTATACTGGAAATTAGAGGATTATAGGAGGAAGGATTTCAGTTTTTCCTTATCATTGTGGATAGTTCAGTGAAACACACGTTTGTAAGGATTTTTGTTTTAAGACATAATTGCACACCCCTAGCTAATTTAGGAAGCTGAAGGCCAGCATCCTCATGATTTAAATACATATAGTACATGGCATTGCCCATGTACTATAGGTTTAATCAGACCTCTGGGTTGTCTGTACAAGGCATTTTATGTAAAATAATCACAAGCAAGTGACTTTTAAGAGAAAATTAAGGTTCTTGTGGTCTAGGATAACATTTAAAATTAAAAAAAAATTTTTTTTTTTGGTGTATGAGTATTGCCTGCATGTGTGTAAGTATGCCCATGTTTTGCAGTGCTCTTGGAGGTCAGAAGAGGGTGTCAGATGCCCAGGAACTGGAGTTACAGACGGTTGTTAGCTGCCATATGAGTGTTGGGAATCCAACCTGGGTCCTCTGAAAGAGCAGTCTGTGCTCTCAACCTCTGAGCCATCTCTCCAGCCCTGGATTACATTTTTTAATCTTATTTGTAATAAGGCATTCAGTTAAATGTTTGGGGAATAATAGTGATGATTGAAATTGAGTTTTTTTCAGGAGTATTTGAAAAGGCATTCTGTTTTTTTGTTTCTTTGTTGGTGGGAAACGAAACACACATGCACGCACACACACACCCCATGTGCGCATATGGTGTTTGGTAAAAAGATTCTAGCCAGATGTGGTAGAACCCACTTTAATCTCAGCACTTGGGAGGCAGAGGCAGGCAGATCTTGGTCAGTTTGAGGCCAACCTAGTCTACCTAGCAAGTTCCAAGCCAGCAAGGGCTATATAGTGAGACTCTGCCTACCCCCCCCACGCCCCCTCCCCAAACAAACTTTGCTAAAGGACATTTGCTGTCTGTACTTTCATGTATTCATTTAGAGCATAAAATACTGTGTTTAGCCCAAGCTTACCACATGTAATTTTCTACTAGTGCTTAGTAAAATAGCAGTAAAAGGGAAACATGTATGTTTGTTTATTTATTTGGTATTTTTGAGACAGGGTTTCCCTGTAGCCCCAACTGACGTGGAACTTGCTGTGTAGACCACCAGGCTGGCCTTGAACTCACAGAGATCCGCCTGCCTCTGCTGGGACCAAAGGCTTGTGTCACTGCACCTGGCAGAAACATGTTTATTAAGTTTCTTTTATAAATATATTGTTTTAGACCTGGAGTGTAGATTAGTAGTAGAGTATTACTAGTATGAGCAAGGCATTGGGTTCAATCTCCAGCACCAAAACAACAACAAAAAAGAAAATATATTGCTTAGATCAAGTCAACTGTTTGCTGGTTTTTTTGTTTTGTGTATTATGATCATGTTCAGACCCCTCCCTCCCTGTCTCTCCTTTCCCGCCCTTCCCTCCCTTCCCTCCCTTTCTTTCTTTGGATTCAAATCTCCCAGGCTGGTCTAGAACTTGGTGTGTAGCTGAGGATGACCTTCGCCTTCTGATCCTCCATGCCTGCTTTATGCAGTGCTGGGCACTGAACCCATGGCTTCATGCATGCTAGGAAAGCACTTTATCACTTGAACTACAGCTCTCAGTTGCTACTTTTAATCCTGGAGCAACAAGAATACTTTGTCTGAAGTTACTTTAATGTGATATTATGATCAAAACTTGGAAGTGAGTTTCTGACTGCTCAAGGAAAGTAAGTAGATTTTATATATATATACCTTGTAATAATTTTTTTTTCTTCTGAACTATAGAATTAAGCCAATGTGTTTTCAGCCTCCCTTCAATTTGGTTTAGTTATCAAGACATCACAGAGGCTTCATTATGTGGTCTTTATACTAAAATGTCCTAACCTGAGCACATTTACATGCTATTAAAACTTTTTTTTTTTTTTTTGAAGCAGGGGCTCCCTGTAGCCCCAGCTGTCCTGGAACTCACTATGCAGACCAGGCTGGCCTTGAACTCACAGAGATCCACCTGCCTCTGCTTCCCAAGTGCTGGGATTAAAGGCTTGCGCCACCATGCCTGGTTTATATACTATTAAATTAAGCCTTCTTTGAACTGAAGAAAAGCCCGAAATGTAAATTTTGGGGGATATTCAAACATTAAAAAATAAAGCAGTTGCAGTGTGACAGGCCCATAGCATTTGCTATTTCTTAAGATAAATCTGTATCGCACCACTAATAATTAGCAGTCACTCAGAAGATAATCTGACCATGAGGGATTGTTTTCTGAGTCCCAGTCTGCTTTGCCTAACTCAGAATACTTTACTTAAAACCCCACAGCATCATATAATTTCTTAAGGGAACCAAAACCATATTTATTAAAGCTGTGTGTGTTCATAGAAGGGCAAAGAGCCAGGCGTGGTGGCACACACCTTTGATCCCAGCACTTGGGAGGCAGAGGCAGGCGGATCTCTGTGAGTTCAAGGCCAGCCTGGTCTACATAGTGAGTTCCAGGACAGCTGGGGCTATAGGGAGACCCTGTCTCAAAAGACCAAAAAAAAAGAAGGGCAAAGAAACATTGGATCTAGTTTCGTAGGTTCGAATGATCACTGGAGTTGGGGATGGAGGAGGTCAAAGAAGATACAGGAGGTATTTTTAAAAATTTTTGTTTTTGGCCTTTTTGAGACAGGGTCTTCCTTTAACCCCAGCTAGCCTGGAACTCACTATGTAGACCAGGCTGGCTTTGAACTCACAGGGACCCAGTGAGTTCCCAGTGCTGAGAATAAAAGCGTGTACCACCACATTTGGCTACAGGAGTTACTTTTTATATGGGTCATCAGTTTGGTGATTTCAACCATTTATGGAAATTGTACTGCTTAGTATGTAGGTGTAGTATTTAAGTCAGGCCTCTACCAACTAGATGGCTCAGCAGGTAAGGGTGCTTGCTGCCAGTCCTTACAACCTGAATTTGATCTCTGGAACCCACATGGTAGAACAAGAGAACTGACTTCTGAAAGTTGTCCTCTGACATCTGCATGTGTATCATGGCAAGTACCCTCTTCATCCCAGTAAATAAATGAATAAG